GAAAGTATGACAATATATTATATTAATTTAAATATTGCTTGGTTGGGCTATGATTGACCCATTTGTTTGGGTGATTTTTCAAAATCAACAAAAGATCGGGTTTGTATGAAACCCACTATTTTATAAATGCTAATTTTATATTTGTGTTATTTATTTAGCAAACTCGAATAACATTGATGATATTAATATTATATCCCCAGTGAATCCACTTGAATATTGGAGAGTTAATGCTGTAAAATTTCCAACTTTATCAACACTTGCACGTAAATTTATGGCTCCTCCAGCAACAAGTGTCCCATCTGAGTCTGCCTTCAGTACGGCAGGGGATATTGATAGTCCTCATCGTAGAAGCCTATTGCCTGAAAATCTAGAGGCTCTTATATTTATTAAAAAAATCTAATATATTATAATTTTATATATTAAATATTACAATTTTATAAACCAACATAAAATGGATATATTATTATATATTTTTTTTAAAATTATTGTTGAAATAAAAAAATTAAATTATGCATAATTCTTTTATGCATAAAAAATATTGATTTATTAATTACATTTGGTTCAAAGAGGGGTGGTAAAAAATTAATATAAATATCGGATCGGTTTTGAACCAATATCGGATCGGATCGGTAAAAAATATGTGGATCGGCACAGCCCTAATATATAGTGCCTTGATGGTTTATCTCGTGCATTAAGACATAACGTAAATTATTTAATAGGTAGGAAACCAATTTTTGCCATACTAGTTTTTTTTATGTGTTATCTCACCCAAATAAATTCAATAAAATATTTTCATTTCTGAGTCTTTGATCGTAAAAGTTTCATTCATTCCTATGATTATGGTCTATTTGAAGTGCGAGGAAATTTAAAGTTTAAAAATATTTTATTTTATAATTATCATAATAATGTAAATACAAACGATGTCAGCCAATTTTGAAATACTGCCTGTCAGCCAATACTCAAATACTACCTGAGAAAAGAAATAACCCAAATATCATTCAAAATAAGCAATTGTAACTATAACATATAATTTCGTAATGTAATTTTGGGAAACATGATAACTTGTAAAAATCGACAATAGCAAATGATGTTCTGCATTTTAATCGTTTAGGAATACTATCCATAGAATAAGTACTTCCATATTGTATTTTCGACGAAGAAAAGGAAGTCAGGTCGAACGAGATATATTACTATTAGGCATATTTACTGAAACCTAAATCACACTATTGTTAAAAATTTTCACCAGTTGGTAAATTTTTTAAATAATAATACTGTGACACTTAGTTTTTAGTTGATAACTACTGTATGTGTGTCTGAATACCCACAACTATCCCTTAATCAAAATATAAAACAACATACATCAATAAAAATTATTCTAAAAAAGAATCCATATGTTATAAATTTGAACACTCATTTACTGGCCGTGCAAAATTTACAATCAGAGCTTCTACAGTGATATAACAATAATAGGACATGAACGTGAAGGAACCTGGATGAATTTTTAAGCCTAGAAACTAGAAATAGCCTTAAAAATGCGATGGAACTAAATTCGTTATAATCAATAAGTATTTACGACAGAATTTTATGTGGGAAGCTTGAAATAAAGCCAAATATTACCAACTACCCCAATGCACTTTCTCATATTGAATCAATATTGCACGTCCATTACATGAATGTTGGCTACATTTATAATATATGGATTCTCTCTTAGAATAATACTTATTGACACAGGTTGTATTTTGGTTGTAAGTGTTGGTTTGAATTGACTTAATGATTGGGTATCGGATGCACCCACAAAGTTATGAAATAATAAGTTTCATAGTGAAATTATTTAAAAAATTTCCTAAAATGTGATTTACAACTTTCTATATGGTGTGATTCTGGGTTTCTGTAAACATACCTCTGAAAATTACCTCGTCCCAAGCAACTTTTATTTCTACAACGATAATATTATATTAAATTTACTATCCTATAAATAGTATATTCTAAATGGTTGAAACATAGGACATCATGTCCTCTTTTCGATTTTTTTATTAGTAATTTTCTTTTCAAAAATTACATTTATTAAATTATAATATCCAATTAAAATTACTTTGAATTATATTCAATGAACTCTTTCAAGAAGTATTTTTGTTTGACGCCGTTTATATTTCCATAATCATGTAAACTATTAGATTTCCCTGCTGATATATTTTTTGAATTTCAAGCTATTTTGATTTATTTTTTAATATTTTTTTTTCTCTTTAGCTTTCACCTTTTCTGGTGGTAAGCTCCTTCAACATCTCTCTCCACTTTATGTTATTCATACAATCTCTTTTATCTAATTTATAGCTGAACTACCTGTTGTGCTACGGACCATTGTTATATGGCCTATATACATATCCTGTATTATTCTTATATATTTTTAGGAACCTTTTTCTGGCGTAGCGCCCACCAGATAAGTTTTCTTGGGATTCTATCGAAGGCCTTTTTTAGATCGAGAAAGACCATGTGTAGCTTTTTGTTCTTTTCCCTGTATTTTTCACTCATTTACCTAATTGCGTGGTTGTTGATCTTCCAGGCATAAAACCAAACTGAGTCTTATATCTCTTAATCTTTTTTCTATTATTTTTTCGTATAGTTTTAGACAGTGTGACATTAGTTTTATGCCCCTGTAATTTGACAATTGTGTGGATCCCCTCAAGTATTTTATTGTATAGATTTGTGAGGAAATGTCCTAGTGCTTTAAGGCTTTCTATTGGAATATCATCTGTTCCCCTAGCTTTGTTCTGTTATTGGTTGTACAAGATTTTGACATGGGAGTGTTCATCTAAATGTAGTGTGGGGATTAAAGTTGAGAAGCATCTATTCATTATTTCTTTTTCCTTTATTATCAATTTCCCATCTTTATTTTTGATTTAATTTGTATATTTTATTTTGCCCTTCTTTGTTATGTAGTTCTTCATACATGTCATCGTATGCCATAGCTTTGGCCCTAGCCACCGCATTTGTAGCTATTCTCTTGGATTTTTTGTAATTTGTCTTGTCATCTGGGTTTTTGGATTTGTACCTTATTTTATATAGGGCCTTTTTCTCCTTTATAGTGGTTTGTACCTCTTTATTCCACCACCATAGTTCTTTGTATGATTTGTTGCCTCCTCTTGTCAAGCCTAGTGTCGATATGGCAGTGTCTATTAATCTGGATGCAAGGTCTGTTCACATTTTTTCACTGACTTGTGAGGAATCTATTGTTTAAATGTTTGTTGATTGCAAAGGCATCTGTCATTGTTCTTTGAGTGGATTTATTTGTGATGTGTAAATCCATTATAGCTTGTATTGCGCGGCGATATCTTCTCCTGGGATGACTTTGCAGTCTATTACATCTTTTAATCTTCTGCGAGAGATTAGCATGTAATCTATTTGTGTTTTCCTTGTACCATTTTATTTGATGACTATCTTTTTTCTTATAATAGGTGTTGGTTAAGGCAAGGTCGAAGGCTTGCGCAAATTTCAGTACAAGCTGTCCATCATTTCTTTCTCCATATCCTAAACCACCATGATGCCTCTAAAGTCTTCTTTCTCTTCTTCCTTGCAACCCGTTTGAGGAACATACTGAAAGGATGTGTAGTATTGATTGACCAATGCAGAGTTTTATCTTCATTAATCTATCAGAGATTCTGTTGACTTCTACTACTGAAGAGGTTAGATCTTAACTGAGATGATGCCGACACCGTTCCTATTGCTAACAATTCCATTATAGTATAATTTATACCCATCTCCAATCATTAAAGTCTTCTGACCTTTCCACGTCTCTTGTATGCACGCTATATCAACTTTTCTCTTGTTCAACATTGATGCCAATTCTCTCGTCTTACCTTTAATCGTCCCAATAATCAAACTTGCTAATCTCTTTGCTTTGACCTTTACTTTACTTTTCACAGGATGGAGGTCTACACCCTGCTCGTCGCTTGGAGGGAACGCCCTAGTTTTCAGATTAATATTTTCATTTGTTTCCTTCATTTTGTTTATTGGACAAGTATCCTTAGTACCCGGCTGTCCAGGCCTGTCGGTGACCGGGGTGTCATCTCTAAGCTCCGAAATTTATCTTACCATATGTCTTTACACATCAGTCATCGAAGAAAAACCTGAAAGTTTTTATGCTCCTTACCAGGATTGGACCTGCGTCCTCTCCGTCCTTCTTGTTTCCAAGTATACATCTAACCCATTAGGCCACCACGGCGATATATTTTGATTAATACTATCTGCTAATAACAAGATGTCTAACTAATTAAATCTATAAATGATATAATAAATTCACAAGGAATTAAGCAAGTTATTTATGATATTATCCAATTACAAATAAAATAAACAATACCGATATCACAAATTGATTTATAAAACGATTGTTGAAGAAATTGATAGCCATAGATAACGGACCGGCAGGGCCGGGGTCTATGTAAAATTTAAACGGCTACCTAGCATTTAGAAGGCAATGAATTATGTTCTTGTATATAATAAGGGTTGGTATAAAAAATATGGATTAACTTATGTTCCAATAAATAATTAAACTTTATGAAACATTTCCAAAAAAGTAATGCTAACTATTCTTAAGTTATTAGAGTTTTATATATATACGCTATATTGCATCGCTAACCTTTATCTTTCACCTTCTAAACATAACTAAATCCTCTATACATGTTTGTTTTAAATATGGATTTATCCTTATATTTATTAACGAGCCTAGTAAAGTTGCAGTTTTTAATATATTCGGCAAGTTACTATACTACCATTGTTGTTCTATTTCTATTCGTATATCATGTCACAACCCCCATTCATTTCATGTTTATTTCAATTAATATAAAATCCCCGTTAATAAAGTTGTGGACGGACAGGTCCGCCCCATCCAAAATAGAACGAGGCGATCTTTATGGACGGGCCGTCCGGAACGCCATGCAGGGCTATTATATACTAGTTTAGTATCATAAGTCGGTCATTCTTATTAAAATTTAAAAAAAAATAAGGACCAGGTGAACAAGGCACTAGTTTTAACCTGAACCTTAATGACCCCGAGGTCAAAAAATTACGTGACTCTCTTTTTAGCGTCAACGGATTTAACGCTCACGCTTCCGACTTTATCTCTCTCGATCGCTCACTCAAGGATATAAGGCATCCCGAGTATATTAATAATTAAATCATTTAGTGTTCTTATTTTCTTAAACAGATTTTTTGGCTTTTTCAAATCGAGCATTACTTGCTCATTTTTTATTCACATATTTCTCTCTAAATAAACTGATGCTCATTCACAAAAAATTTATTTTAAACTATATTCAGTTGGGTAATTGGCAGTGGCTTAGCCAGAATTATCCAAGAACTGGGGTTGCGGAAAAAAGTAACCACCATCAGTCCGACCTTTGGTCGGGTCCCACCTTCTAGTTAAATATTTTTTTTATCTGTGGTTATTTTTATAAATATGTAATATCTTTGTTTATATTATCTTCGTTAAAGGCTATACAATTAATTGAAAGCACTAATTCTAAAATATATGCAAATGTTTCGTGCTTAATCAATGCTTAAAAGAGTTCTTTAACCAGTATGAAGCAAAAAAATATATTAGCAACAAAATGGCAAACCTTACAATTAAAAAGTGACTGAAACTATTTATTCTGAAAAATTTCTCAATGTTTAACAATCTTGCTAGAATGGGAAGTTAGAAGATCTAAATATCAGGTCTGTGCTTATATTTAGTTCCTGACTAATACTTATTGATTACTCAATCAATTTTGAGAACCACAAAAAAGAAACTAAGTTATAACTAAATGAAACTATGGTATCACGCTAAGCGTTAGATGAATCAATCTTTTTGGAACACTCATTTTTGGTATTACATTGTTAAAACTATGATATCATGCCTTAAGCATGAAGTCAGCCAAACTTCTGGAACCAGTGCCTCTGACTTTTAACTAATTATTGCGTATTTTTTTTACATTTTAGTGCTTCAACGTTTGATAGATAGTTTAAAAACTTATTATTGGCAAAATATGAGATTGGTGTCATGCTAGAACGAAAATTATAGAAACATTGAATATCAGGGGTTTGTCAATATATGCCTGATTAGTACTTTTAATCTCTAATCATTCATTAATCAATTCCAGACAATTAACAGAAACCAGTTATAAGCTAAATGAAAACTATAACGGTACGCCTTAGCTTGCGTCTTAAACATGATTTTAAATTGCGATTCAAAAATTACATCTAAGGACATTAAGGTTTATTTTTTTCCCGATTCATAATATTTTTGAATCTTATAATTCTTTTACGACTCTGGGAGGCATCCCGTTTTTCAATTTTTTAATGTAAAAATTAGATTAAAAATTTAATGTTTTAGATTTTCACGATTCTTTTACCTTGTTTTTTTAAATAGAAGAAGATATTTCTGAGAATATTTTATTGAAATAGAATATTAAGGAAGGGGTTCATCTAGATATCAATATAAATGTATTAGCTTAAAATTTAGTAATATATTTTAGAGTAATTCTATAAGGTTGTTATACAAAGTATCATTCTACAAATGTGGTATAAGTTATTGTATTCTACAAGAGTTATTTTAAGTTAGTGTCTTCTACAGAAATTGGTGCCCGTCCTATTAAATTAAAAACCTGGGACACAAAAAATAAAAAGAAGAAAACCATAGTAAAAATAAATAAAATTCTTAAGATAAAAGGTAAAATAAAGATTTATTATAATAGTAATTAATGTTTATTTGTATTGTCATATTTTTTACAATAATGAGTATAATATATTTTCATTTAGTAATGTTAAAATATTTATAATAAAAGTTCTAATAAATTATTTGTAATAAAAAAGAAATATCAATTAATGAAAGTATAATACCTATATATTTTTTTTTAAATAAAGGATAAATGTTAAATTATAAAAACACAAAGTTATGTGGAAATGGTTCCACAGAGAAATAATTGTATTAAAGCTGTAGTAGTTATATGTTTATGGATAATTGGTATTGTGTTACATCGGAGAAAAATGAAAAGAGTTATAGATAGAATAAAGATCACAGAGGAAATTGGAATCCAAAATAATGGAATTAATAAAGAAAGGAATGAAAGGGAATTGAAAAACATTAATGAAAATGAGAGAATGATGGAGGAAATGTTAAGTTTAAAAGATGAAATATGGAAAATTTTAAATGAAAACATGATAGGAGGTATGAGAAAAAGTGTTAATGTTATTAAGGCGAGAAATGATGGGAAAAATATGAACGATAAATTAGAAATGGATATTAAAGATGAACAATGAGATATGTTAAACGAAATTCTGATGATCATGGAGAAATGGGAGTGGTTACGAAAAGGATTTCAGAAGAGAAGATCGTATGACGATCATTTTAAATAGTATAGTACTCCAATGAGCTTTCAGAGGAATGAAAAAGATAATTGGGAAAGAGAGAATTTGTTTCGAGACAAATGATGAATATGCAAGGTATGAGATCTTATGCCTGTGGGGAATTGGGACATATAAGTAAAGATTATGTGTTCAGAATTGTGCAACATTTAACAAGCAACCAATTAAATGTAATAGATATGGAGGAGTAGGAAATAGTAGTGAAAAATGTTATTCCGACTTATCGTATTAATGGAAATAATCAAATAACATTTCAATGTGAAAGATGTGGATAAATGGGACATTCTATAGAGAATTGTTATATAAGAGAACCGGTGAATGTGGAACATTTCTGGCAGTCTAATATTTCACGCCGGAATTCAATGTAAGAATGGTACAAGATAACGATGTTTTGAAGGAGGGGGAATGTAAAGATTGTAATTATGTGTTTCAAATGCAGGAAAGGACATCGAATGGTGGAATGTCCGGAGAGGTGACTAAACGATAGCGAAAATAGTATAACAAGGGTTATTACATCACATGAGACTTCTAGTGGGTTGAGATAAAAAAGTTAAAAAAAATTTAGTTAATGAGAGAGATATAAATAGGGTAAGTGATGAAAATATGAAGAATTGTAGAATTCCAATAAATTAGAGGGTAAAGGGGAGAAGGATAAATCTCCTCGTGTGAAAATATTGTGAAGAGTAGAGAAATATCTATGTTGTTGGATACAGGGGTGGCGATATCGATTGTAATTTATGAAAATTATTGTGAATATTGGCCTGAAGAGAGTATAATTGAAGAGGAAATGATGGTTAGACAATTTGATGGATCGGGAATAAAGGTTTTAGGAAAAATTAAAGTACCGTTTGTGATAAATGGTAAAGTTAATTATCTAAATTTGTGGATTGTTGATAAAAAGGTGGAGACGATCATGGGGCCAGTAAATAATTTTTGGAGTATTTTTTCAAACGGAATTAAGTGTGATGAAGTGGTTGAAGTTCAAAATACAGAAATGGGAAATCAAAAATTATGTGGCACAAAGAATGAAATGAGTGGAAATAGAATGATGGGCAGCTTTAAAGATGAGGTTGGGAACGCGAGTAATTTTCAAGAGCGGATAGTGCCAATTTAAAAAAAAGGGAAAGAGATAGTGAGTTGTCGGAAAGTGTGTGAGTTGTCGGAAAGTGTTAGTATGGTGGAAAATAACAAAGAAAAAACATGTAAGATGTTTATTAATGTGGAAGATAATGATGAAGTAAAGATAGTAGCTAGTAGAAGGGAAACAGAGGAGGAAATTAGTATTCCAAAGATATGTATGGAAATATAATGAAAAGAATGGTGTACTAATGTTACAAAATTTTCCAGCGAAATTTGTAAGGAAAAGAGGAAGAGGATCATGATGCGAGGGAAGATAATGAACAATCACCGAATTGGGAAGATTGGAGAAGTGCTGTGGCAATTTTAATTAATATTATAGTGAAATTTTTGAGGAGAAATTAGACTGTTTAGTGGATTATGAGGTTGATCTCCGTTTAAAGGAGGGATTTATACCTCAATATTGTCAGGTGCGAAGAGTTCCATTTGAATGGAGGGCGGAATTGGAAAAAGAGTTGGATAACTGGGTACGAGAGGGAATTATTTGTCCGATTGGTTACAGTGAATGGGCAACTTCGGATAAAATCAATAGTTGCAAATTTACGAAGGAGAAGTATCATTTTAATTAGTGCGAAATGTAAATTCGAATAGTTGATCCAAAAGGAAAGTCCCTGGTTAATGAAGATTAGATTTCAATCGTGTCTACAATACTCAACAAGAACTATATCTTACTTATAATCAAACCAATTAAACGGATGTAAACAATCATTTAATCAATAATACCACTGTCCACGAACACCGTGTGTCCTAACGTAAAAGATGAACGACACAATATTAAGATAACAACAAATTGCTACAACAAAAACGCAGAAAAAAAATGACAGCAACGTTATAATTGACTCTAATTTACTGTAACAATAGATGGCTATCATTGAAGATCAGAGAGAGTGTATGAAACGATGCAAAAAAGTAAACATAAAAATAATCTTAAAAAATATGTGGGTTATTTATTGTATTTTTATACGCTGATTGATTTTTAATTGATTTTATGACGCTAAAAATATATTATTTTGCCCCGGGTTTTTGTTCCTAAAATCGGGGCGTGTTGTGTGATATTGTAATAATATTTTGTTTTATATTTTTGTTTTTTTGGGTTAATTTATTTTTATTTGCTGTTGTCAAGGATGTATTTTATTTTTATATGAAAAAGAGGAAAACTATCGTTTTTATTTTTTCGCGTAAAATTTAAAAGAAAAATTATATTATTGTATTTTTGTATCATAAAATTAAATAAAAATTTTAGAGTAATTCTATAAGATTGTTATACAATGTATCATTCTACAGGTGTGGTCTAAGTTATTGTATTCTACAAGAGTTATTTTAAGTTAGTGACTTCTACAAAAGTCTACACCTCTATTATAAATAATTTTTTAAATATAATATTATTTACTCCATATCGGGCATCTCTTTTAACCCTAATCTAGTAAAGTGAGCCTGGAATTTATATATATTTTGAAACTAATTAAATTTATATTTAAAAAAGATAAACAAATCACAAATACTGCGAATCCTTATCCTAATATATAAAAAAAATATATTAAACAAAACAAGATATCCTTCGATAAAGGCAATACCTGAAAATTGTTTCGATAAAACCATATTTTTTTAAAAAAATTTATTTTTAGGATGATTTATGTTCAAGGCTAAATCAATTTTAAAGATTAAAAAAAAAATTGCAATTTAGTCCAATGGGATGATATAAACCAATTTAATTTAATAAATTTTATTTTAACAGAGAAATCATAAATGGATTCCATACAGTCCTATTTCTAACAAATTTACTAAAAACCCGGGTCTATTAAGCATAGTTCTAAATATACTAAACGCCTGAGACATATATGTTATGCCATATATAAAGCAAAAGGGTTACTCCAATTTACCACAATTTTTTTAAAGTCCATAATTTGAATATTAAATTTTTTTTATCCCCTATTTCGATTTATCGGATCATTGCCGATATTATTTTTAACAAAATACAAACGATCTGATCGAACTATCCGATATTTAAAAAATACTAATACAGCATCTTATCATAATAATAATCATGCAAGGGATATGTTATCTTAGATTTAACGATACATTTTTTTGTTTAAATAAAGTTGCAAAACCAAAAAATACCTTCCAAAATTACTCGATGTCAGCATAGTCATACCGTTCCACGAGGAACATTGGACCACCCTTCTCCGCTCCGTGCATAGCATCATCAACCGATCCCCTTCCCATTTGATCAAGGAAATTATTTTGGTCGACGATTTCAGTACCAAAGGTATTAAGTGTTTATTAATTAGTGACCTTTAAGCAACAAAAAATTGAATTAAATTTTTTTGCTTATTTTTTTCAAATTATTCTTTATTATCCATTTGGGGGGGGGGGGGGTCATATAGTAAAATTTTTTATTAGCTTATTACGAGAACAGGCAAATTTGCGATGGATTTCCCCCGATAGTTTTTGATATATTTTAAAAATTTTACAAATTCATAAGTCTCTGCTTTTCTCACATTTGAGGCTCTGTATCTCGGGAACCAAGTGTACTAACGAGCTAGAATAAATGAGCATCTTATTTTTTTTACCTATCTAAATCATTACAGAAATTTTTAGCAATTTTAAAAGGAGTCGGCCTTAAATGTGACTTTTTGATCGATTTGTCATGGAATGAACATTGACTTAACGACCCATATAAGATTTGAGTCATTTTTTATGATTCTTTATTCCTTCATGAAGATTGAGTTTATCATATAAAGGGAGTGGAGCGAACGGATATGACTAAAATAGTGAACAGCCGGATCCTAACGCATTTTAAGGTAGCCGGTTGTATTTATCGAGTTTGGGAACCAAATGTAATCTAATTATTGGCCACGCTCCATTTGGTTTCTAAACTCGATTTAAACACAGCCCATCACTTTATTTTAAAAGATTATCGGAGGCTTGAACCGTTAGTAGATCTTCGCTAAACTAAAATATAACTTCTCAAATAGGATAATTTATTATGTTGACGATATTTCCTCATAATCGAGCTATTAACCCGCACTTCATGTTTGGCTCGACTCATCTTGTATTTATTTTGGGTTCCTCTTAAAAAATTTTGCATTTATAATTTGCAACTATGGATAATTTATTGAGTCATTTAAAAAAATATATACAAGATCCATATGGCTTTTCAATTCTAATGTTGCATTCATAGTGGGATCTAATCCGTCATAATTTAACAGCAGATCTATTTTATAATTTGTTTATGAGATCAATTTTTATTTATTTATAATATTATTTTTATCTTTAATTTCATGGTCATTAATAAAAAAAACACAAACAGATTTTTAAAATCAATCAGCTTTTAAATCGTCGAGGACGGATCCCACTATGAATGCAGCTTACCCCCAAGAGCTTAATTTCTGAAAAAAATATTAGTTCCACCCTGAATCGAACAATAAATGAAAAAATTATAATAAAATATAGATGGTTCAATAGCTAAGGCTACTTAATTTATTTTTTTTTACATCAGGCAAATCTCGTATTTCGCGTCCGGCTTAGTCGGGCTCTCGCCTAAAATTTTTAAAAATTGGGCAGCGTCACGCTCGGACCATTTTTTAGAGACCAGATCAGGCTCTAACCCGATTTTTACCGGATCGAGCTTAAAATACGAATTTTGAACCAACTCAAGGCGATTTTTTTCTCTAGTTTATTATTTTTCTAATAATAGCATCCCTATTTGTCTATTTTTTTAATCATTTTTTGCCGAGATTTATAATAATTGATGCTGAATTTTATGCTTGATAACTATGACAAATGAGCAGAGTCGGCTCTTGTCTGGACTAAATTTTTGTGTGTATGCTGCATATGATATTTGGAATATATTTGCTACAAAATTTATATATATGTAAGCATTAATTAATAAAAAGAATCCTGAATGTATGTATCACTAATATTTATTGCTCTTAATAATCCCGGTTTGGGTCAATTTTTAAAAACGGCCAGATTAAATTTTATCCAAAATAACATTATGTTAGCCTGGTGGTTTTGTTCATGGATGGCAGAAAGGTTTGGATCTCTATTTTCCAAATCTCGAAGCTTGCATATTATTATCTTGGCTAAAATGGCCGTTTTTAAAAAATAGACCCAAATCGGGCTTTTTAAATACGCTTACTAATATTATAAATAAATTTCCCGCTATTTTTCTGATAAGAAAATTATGTTTTTTGTATATATAAGGTTAAATTATTCAATTTGTCTTGCATTGTAGAACGAAGATATATATCTTTATTATTTAAAGATGGGAAAAACAATATTCAGCACTTACGACGTTATAATGTTCTTAATGAGATAATATAAAGAATTGTAAAATTGATAATTTTTGTTATAAATTTATTGTTAAAATAATATCAATTGAACCATCATTTATTTTGGTTGTTAGGCTTGAGGGTATCCTCGTTGAGATGTGTACCATTAGTATGGTCATAGATGTGGATAATTTAAATAATATCCTTTGGTGTGTTTTTTTATAAATTAATTTTATAAAAAAATCCAAAATATTGGGATTGATGAGATAAATTTAGTTCAAATCTTTAAGAAATGTATTAAATAGCAAAGTTTTATACATTTATTTGGAAGAAAAAAAAACCTTTATGTGATTTTCTATAAGATTTAATTCATCTTGCTTGACATTCAATATCAAACTTATTTCCCCCCCCCATCATTTCTTGCGATTATTTCAATTATAAAATCTTTTATTTCTAATTTTTCATACAACCTCTTTACCAAGAGAAGGGAGTTAAATTTTTCTCAAATTTTTATTTTTGTATAATTCAATAACGGACGCCAGGGATGGGCAGCAATTTTCATTTTTGGCCTTGTTACTATAAGAACCATTTCATTGATGTCGACATTAATCTCTCCTAAATTAAATCGAAGACGGATGGCGTCTAATATATTATCCCACCTCGTTGTTACTGCCTCCACAATTTCCATCTGGGTTAGGCCGCTGCCTCACCAGCCTCTAGACCTTGAGGCAGCCTTGAGACTGATTAAAACAGCACCACCTTATTTTAAAATTCATTCTATCATTAGAAAGAAAAAATAAGTCATATTTAAATATACCGTATATCCTCATGCATTATATAAACCTTTTTTTTTACATCTTAGAATTTTTGAAGGATAAACTCGACTACTATCTCAAGTACAACATATCGCAAAGGTACAATCCGCGGGTGGTACGAGCTACCGCTAGGGAAGGTTTGATAAGGGCCAGAATTCTCGGGGCTAAGAACGCTACAGGGGATGTTATCATATTCTTGGATTCCCACATCGAATGCAACGTTAACTGGTTGCCACCTTTGTTAGGTTTAATTTAAATTCAAAAAATAGATCAGAAAAATTTCCCGGTTAAATAAGATGAGAATGCCTTCTTGTCTTAACCCATGAGTAGGCCTATTCAAAAACTAATATAAAGGTTCGATTCGTTTAAAATAATTTGAATAGAAATGAACAAGAAAAATTAGTTAATTATTCGTTTCGTTATAAACAATCATTTAATTCGATAATTTATTTTAAAATAAATTAAATAATTTTAAATGAAAATGTTAATTAAATTTTATTGTTAAGTATGGAATTATATGAAGAGTTTATTCTTTGAAATCTTTTAAAATATTACCGATTTTTTAAAAATTTTATCCAAAAGTCAATATCTTAAACTCTCTAATAAAAGTATTTAAATGAATAAATTAAAATATAATTTATTATTACATTTTGCATAATTAGTCTAGAGTCAATATCAAAAAATTTTATTTAAATTATTTCTTAAAATTATATTTCTTTGTAAGAAATATCGCTAGTATTTATACATGAAAATCTTTTACAATTTGAATAATAAATATGAAAATAGTTTTACCAAAATAAAAATAGAACAAATTAATCTATAAAATTAGTTTTTTTACAAAAATAAAAATATTATAGGCAAATTGAATTTTCGTTAAGATTAAGAATTTGACTATTCAACACATTTATTTTTGTGAATTATTACATTTATTTTATGGTGATTTATCACATAAAATCTTGCATAATTATGGATAATATGATAAGTCTGATAAATTAATTGATCTCATGGGCCCCACTACACTTTTCAATTTGCCGGGGCTCAATGGGTGCTAAAAATCGAAAACTTTTTAAAAGTAAATTTCAAAATTTACATCTAAGGGGCTCGAGCCCCCAATAGCATCACCTCTCCAGTGACGCCATTGATTGACCTTGATCAAGTTGACAGGGAGGCCGTTTGAGAACATTATGAATAAAATAATAAGTGGAAAAGATGTGTAAATCATTGCAAGAGCGATATTGGTAACAGGATTTATAGTTTCCTTCTTCCTTACTTAAACTCATCTAAAATAAGTTTTTTAGCGCATTTTTATTACCTCCTGTGTATGTTGAATATAGGCATATCCAAGTTTTTCTTATGGGGGAGGGGCACTATCAGGTGGTGTTTTGCCATAAATATTATTATAGTAAACATATTATATATTTTAATGGAAGATTTGGAACAGGTTTCGTTTCCTTCCGAATTTTAGAAAGTTTAGTTTTCCAAATTTTTATTCATACGTTTTGCATTGCACACAGCCTAACAAACACTTAAATATAAATTATTTTAAAAAAACTATCTTGTATCGACCGATATTCGTGATCAATCTACATCTCTCAACTTCATCCTAATTCTATTATTATTAAATATTATCCCTAGCCCATTTCTCTATAGCCTTTTAATCCTAACCTCGTCCAAAGAGCTTGGTTTCAGGAAAAGTATTGGTTCCACTAGAGATCGTTCAAAAAAATGAATAATGACGGCTCAGTGGCTTACACACTTAAATTTTCTCTTTTTAAATAAACTAGAGCCCATAGCCCTAAATCGCAAAACCGTTGTTTGTCCTTTCATAGACGTTATAGATTTCGAAAATTTCGAGTACCGAGCCCAGGACGAGGGAGCCAGGGGCGCCTTCGATTGGGAACTCTATTACAAACGTTTGCCGCTGCTCGAAAGCGATTTGGAGCACCCTTCGGATCCTTTCGAGTTAGTGATTTTACAATACATTATATATTATAATTACATTAGACCGACGTGAAATTTTTAAGAAGGTAAGGAAGCCATGCAGTGATACCAGTTTAGAAATTTGGGAAACTAATATAAACATTTATTTTCTCCCTATAAATTAATATATCTACAAATCTACCTATTAATGACCAGTTTAGTTGAGTCATTTTATAAATTACCGCTTACTTTTTTTATGCCTGAAATCCATTGTGAGAGCGTCCATTAAATCAGCTATATAATGGAAGCATATACAAAAAAAATAGGGTAGGATGTTTACCAGAATTGTTCGCACGAAAACTGGAATGCTATAGTTACTTTTTTTTAAAGATTTTTTTTAAAAACGATAAAATCGGCTTTGAAATTTTAAGGAGATAGGAATTTACCATAGATAATATTAAATTTTAAAATGACCATAGATTATACCAAATAGAAATTGTTAATATTTATATTTGCACACAAATAATCATAATTTCGATTCATTTTTAAAGCTAATTCATTTTTTTTAAATGTCTAGCGTAGGCTTGGCAGAAGTTGCAGATTTAGATTGGAAAATATCATACCTCATAATTTTTTTATACCTTAGAATGATATTTCTTTGTAAGAAAAAGTTTATGCTTCAGGAGATATGGTCAAGAAATTATTGAAAAAATATAGATATTTCATGAGCTAATTTGATATTTTGTCAAATAAAAAGCCAACTGTTAATCAAAAATTCGTGAATATGTGCAAACATCTTTTAGAAAAACTATTTTTTTTAATACCAATATCGAGTACATTAACCCTGGGAAAAGTTGATAAGTTTTGTTATTTGGATAATATGCTAAACGCAGATGGTGGTGTAGATTCTGCCTTTGTTTCAAGGGTCAGGCATGCATGGAAGAAGTTCAGAGAGATGTCATCTATTCTATAAATAAAAAAGTCTCTCTGAAGTTTTAGGGGAAAGTTTACGTAAGCTGTGTGAGGAGTTGTTTAGTTTATGGCGGCGAAACATGGGCAATGAAAGCGAGCCACGAAGCCAAATTAGAAAGAACAGAGATGAGGATGATTAGATGGATGTGTGGGGTATCTCTGAGAGAGAGAAAAACTAGCAAGGAATTGCTATCAAGATTGGGTATAGAAATTATTGGAGTTGTAATGCGAAGAAATAGACTAAGATGGCTTGGGCTTGTGGAACGTTTGACAAAAGATGACTGGGTAAAGATATGCATCTTGATAGAAGTAGGAGGATCAAGATCTAGAGGAAGGCCCAAGATGACGTGGACAAATGTGATAGCGGCGGATATGAGAAACATGAATCTTACAAATATTGATGTTCAGGACCATCAAAAATGGAAAAGAAAAATCAGAATGAACACTGACCTACCTGGGTAAACCTGGAAATCGTCATAAAACGAAGAAGAAGAAGAGTACATGAAATTTTGCAATGCACAATCAAAGTTTAAAAATTCGATCTTTTAATTTAAACATCTAGATTTTGGAAGATATCATAATTTATAAAAATAAATAAAATATTATTTTTAAATTGTTCTAAATTTAATTATAATGATGAAATTATTTTTATGATAAATGCCAAATATAGTAAAATAAATTTAAAAAACTCCTATTTAAGTCTTTATTTTTCTGGACTGCACACCCTGAACAATATTGATGTTCAGGACCATCAAAAATGGAAAAGAAAAATCAGAGAATGACCTACCTGGGTAAACCTGGAAATCGCCATAAAATGAAGAAGAAGAAGAAGAGTACATGAAATGTTGCAATGCACAATTAAAGTTAGGCATAAAAATTAGATCTTTTAATTTAAACATCTAGATTTTGGAAGATATCATAATTGATAAAATTATAAAAATAAATAAAATATTATTTTTAAATTGTATTTTATTCTAAATTTAATTATAATGATGAAATTATTTTTATGGTAAATGCCAAATATAGTAATAAATTTTAAAAAACTCCTATTTAAGTCTTTATTTTTCTGGACTGCAAACCCTGAACCATAACCAGATTTATTTCAATAAACCATAACCTTTTTTAAAAGGAGGGTTCACAGCCCTGAATTTAAATATTACTCACTTCATTGAGATATTAATTATACAATTAACAATTAATTATGTCAAAAATGGAAACAATGAAATACAATAACTAATGACTACTAATACAATTTAGTATTTTTCATATAAAAATTGTTTAATTCTAAAATAATTTAAGTTTGCCTTTCCTTATATTAAGTATTTTAATGAAATTTAGTAAATAGAATTTTATTTAAATTATTAATTTAAATCACTGATTTTTTTTTTAAAAACTCGATGATTTAAAATAAATTGATTTTTATTTGCCAACCCACTAGTGTAGCACTCCAACACAAGGTGCTGATATACTTGGGCGTTTGGAAAAGGAGATGAATGAAAAGCGTTTTGTAAAAATACTTAAATACACATATTATATTATATAAAAAATGTAAATTTTTGTTTTATCGGAAATCGTATTTTAGTAGTCCAATTATGGCGGGTGGTTTATTCGCGATAGATCGAAGCTATTTTTGGGAATTGGGCGGCTATGACCCCGGTCTCCAAATATGGGGTGGCGAACAATACGAATTATCTTTCAAAGTTTTTTAATATTTCATTTAAATATATTCATCGTAAAATAATTCTTACGTTTTTAAGTGTAAAATTATGCAAATTATGGCTTTTTCCACATACGGATCCTTTTGTAAACTCAGCGTCTAGTCCTTTTTGAATTCATTGGAGTTTTGCTAAGATCAGAAGATTGGCAACCTGTTAGATTTGAAAGGCCAGATGGATGAATACCAATTGACATGATAGGATATAATTTTATTAATAGAAGATTTTATAAGGACAACTTTATTTAATCAAAATATCGACCCAATTACTTTTTTTTTAAACCATTTAAACAATTATGATTATCAGCATTCGCCCTAAGATTTCTGACCTCACTGAAGACAAGCTCTAATCGTGTTTCGAAGAAAATATTATTCATCAACAATAAAGATTGGCCCACCCTAGCTTAATATATTTTATTATCCTTAGTAGACAAAGCCTATACCTAGTTTTGGTTAAATTAAGCAGATTTTTTAAAATTAATATCTTATTCAACTCTTGATAAAATATTTTATTCCTAAATTAATATAAATGTGATCTATGATTAAAGTTTACATAATTAAATTATGCACCTTTTTAAAATCATTTTTTTTTGAAAAGTTCCATTTTGACATAGGTAAATTTAAATATTTTTTTTTAAATTAAAATAATTATTACTATCAGATAAGGGTAAGTATTATTATAGAATTTCTAAAAAATTAGGTTCGATTTTTTAAAAAAGTCTATTATTATACCTAAAATATATTACGATTATTCCGACTAAAATCTTAATTTAAAATCGGCTAAATCGAGTCGTTTAACAACTCTATAAGATTTAAATTAATATTTTGTTCTTAGTAATGAGTTGAAAATATATTATCACGCACGTTACATATCCACCACCCCTTTTTTTGAGAAATAAAATTATTATGCAAACAATAATTTTCCTCAAAAAACCTTGAGAACAACTTCGAACTAATTAATTATTTAATATCCGAGTACCAAAATTCGCTTATATAATGAGGAATTTTTCCGATAAGTTTACTATGGCGAAGTTTATTTTTATCTATCAATAAAATAAGATATGGCAATGCGGCGGAAGAATGGTAGACGCCCCTTGTTCCCGCGTCGGGCATATATACAGAAAATACGCGCCGTTTCCGAACCCTCATATAGGTGATTTCGTAGGGAAGGTAACTCTTTCTCTTTATTTCCTTTCGATTATATTACCAAAATAATTTAGATTATTAATCGGCTATTAAATTTATTCTTTCTAATTTGTAATAGGCGTATAACATACGTGTCGAAAATGGAAGGGAGAGGGGCAGAATTTTCTTTGACAAATATTTGTTTACCTCTATGATTATAAAATTTTCGAATTTAATCTTATATATAGTCATAATTTAAGATTAAAGAATTTGACTTTAATTTTGTTTTCACACAAATAGATACCTTTATTTATCATTCTTATTTCCGATAAATAAGACGATGTATGTAACTTTTTTAAAAAAATTCTTAATCTTACCTAGAACAGCATTTATTAACTTTATTTGAGGTTGTCTCTGACAACATATTTATTAGAGAACTTCTGTTTTTATTTTTTATATTTACTATAATAGCTTCCTCTAAGTGGTGTATTTTATCATTTTTTGTATAAATATCATCTCAAGGAAATTCCCATGAATTAAATTTTCAAAATTTCTAAGTCTTTCATTAGTATTTGTGACCCTGTGAGATAAGTTTTGTTTACCAAAAATTTATTAACTCAAATATTATTTGTTTTTTATTACATGGATATTATTGTGAATAAGCCGATTCATTTTATTTATCATTTTAAAGTCAATTGAATTTAATTTCTATATAAAAATATTAAATAATATATTTAAAAAAATGAAAAAATTCCCCATAAAATATGAATACCTAAATGATAATCCTCCAAGAAATGTATCGATATGAAATTCTAAATGCCATACGAAAAAGGAAATATATTTAAAAATATTAAATATATAAAATAATAGGAATAGTATATTTAAAAAAGATTTCCCGACTACTTGGGAGTTAATTTTAGAATTAATTTTGTTTAAAAATTATAGTTTATTTGTGTTGAGACATTTTTTAATTTGAATTTAGTAAAGAAAATTTTTTTTTATTATAATTATTTCCGAATTATATCGTGGCCACTTCAAATCAGCGAGCGCCATTTTGATTTAGGGTAAGAATTTTTATAAATAAATGAAACTTTTATTTTTTAAGAAAGTTTTCATAAAATTTTAATGTAAAATTGTTTGTATAGGTGCTTTCAGCTGATTTATATAGATGCATAATATCAGCAGTCTAGGCAGTTTTATTAATTATGGCATTGGGCCCTCATAAATATTAATTTTCAGCCATAAACACCTTTTTTAATCACTTTGTTTACATTTATAAAATACACAAGACGACTAGAAATTAATGATTCTATAAATATTTAATAATATAATTTTCAAAATATATACATAAAAATAATATTTTCTTAGAATCATTTTATAAAAATTAAATTGATATTCATCAATTGAAATATGTAATATAAAACTTATGGGCTCGATTAGTCTTTAATGTAACACTGCCGGGGCAGCGTTGTTTTAAGATTATATCAAAATATAAAATTTCCCAATTGACGACAAAAAGGGTTTCCGAACTCTGCCTAAATAGTCTGCTTGAAATTGTTATAATGAAAAAAGACGTATTAACCTCATTCACATTGAATTCGCGGCGGATACAAAAGAAAGAACTTTCTTTCTGTATTTCTGTATTATTGGTCGCGAATTCGCACTAACTGTGAATGTGAGTTGTAATACTTTTTTTATAGTTTATATGCAGGCATCCATAATATATTTTGCTTTATTTCTCACGATTCAAATTAAAAATAATATAACTTAAGATGTAAATTCAAACTAAAAATGAATGAATGCGTTCACAATCCTTTTTCAAAGGTCTTTTTCTTTCTCTCTTTTACTATTCGTCACATATATTCACCATATATGACATCTCCCTTATTTATTTGAATTTTTCACCCTACTTGGCTCCTTTTCCTTCTGTCCTTGTTCACTTTCGTTAGCAATTCGTTTATTAATCTTTATACGTGGACATTTTATGGTAACGTCATCAGCTCCATGCATCTCTCATTCTACAATCTCTGTAAACCCAAATTCCAGCTTTGCAATAACTTTTCTTCAGGTTGTTATTTTTACAATATTTCTCTACAACTCATGTACTCAAACACCAATGCTATGATTCATTTCGGCCTTTATAATATTTCGACTGCGACAATCCATAACTCATCCATCACCATATATCTGTTCCTTTCTTTTCCTCTTCTCATTTATCGATTCTTTTACAATTTTTCCATGCCATCATTTGTTTTTTCGTACTCTAACATTTCCTTTTCTCGCTTCCAGTCATGCTTTACCATATTCTAACGTCTCCTTCAATTCATCCTCTCTTTATCTCTGTTGTATTATAGGTTGTGTTTATTTTTATGTGTGTTATTATTACAATAATGGATTTTGTTTGTGTGTGATTAGTATTATAATATTGTATGTTTTGTTTGTGTGTGTTTAGTATTACAATATTTGTATATATTTACTCATTAATATAATTTATGTTAAATATGAAGATGAAATTATGGAAAATATAACTTATCTTAATTAAATTCTCTGATCATGAGAATGATTTATATAAAATATTAGACAATGTGATTAATGAAAATGAAGAAAATAGATTATTTCAAATTTATGATAGATAAAATATTTTTCGCTTCTCGGTTTCACCCTTGATCTTTATTTTTCTGTGTAATTTTCTCATTCCATTCTTATCAACTTTTATATTGGCAATCCTTACTCCCTTTTCTACTTCTCCGTTTCTTTTTTCTCCCTTTCCTATTCCATTGCTCATTCCTTTACCCTCTTCGCTTCTCCTCTTCTTTTCCTTTAATTTGTTTTCTCTCTTTCCATCTCTTACTTTCCTTCACCCTTATTCCAATTCGAATAATTTCAATATTCGACTCGTTCTTCTATGAATACTCACGTTGTATTCTTTGCATTAGTCATTTACTACTTTATTTTCTTATTCATTTTGAATCTTTCGAGTTGAATACTTCTTCTAATTATTCAAAGAATTATCTAATTTTGTGAATATAAATATAGTCGTAAGAGTCAAAATATTAAATTGAATTATTTGATATAGGAGAATTCGACAGAATATAATAATTGAATTGAGCGTTGGATAAATAATATAAATCGGCAATTCGAAGAAATATTCAACTCGAAAGATTCAAATTGAATAAAAGATAATATAATAGATGACAAAGATACGATATGAGTATTCATAGAAGAACAACTCGAATTTTGAAAGTATTCGAATTGAGAAAAGAAAGTAAAAGATAGGGAGAAAGAGAGAAAACAAACAAAGGGAAAGAAGAGAAGAGAGTAGGGTGAAGGGGAGAAGATGAAACGAAAAAGTAGAAAAGGGAGGAATAGGTAGCCGAATATAAAAGTTTATTGGAACGGAGGGATAAATTAGCAAGAATAATAAAGAAAAAATTTGAAGCCGGGATCGAAAATAAAGATAATTATATTTTATCTGCCATAATTTTGAAATAATCTATTTTCTTCATCTTAATTAAGCACAATTATACATGATTTTTAAGTTTTATTTTCTCTAGCAGAATATTTTATATAAATCAATTCTCATTATCAAAGAAAATATTCATGATACAATTAAATTAGAATTTTAAGGTATATTTTCTTTTAGTTATTAAATAATCTCATCTTCATATTTAACATAAATTATATTAAATGATTAAATATATACAATATTATAATATTAAGCATATATACAAACAAAACATGCAATTTTAAACACACACAAACAAAACATACAATATTGTAATAATAACTACACAAAAAATAAACATCACAACCTATAATACAACAGAGATAAAAAGAGGATGAATTGAAGGAGACGTTAGAATATGGAAAAGCAAGAATGATTGCAAGCGAGAAAAGGAAATGTTAGAGTACGAAAAAAAACAAATGATTGAATGGAAGCGAAATGGTATAAACCCAAGAATCGATAAATGGGAAGAATATGATAAGATAAAAGAAATAACATATGGGTTAAAGAAAACATAAAAGAGGAAAATAATAGATATATAGTGATGGGAGTTAATGGATTGTCGTAGTCGAAATATTATGAAGAACGAAATGAATCATAGCATTGGTATATGAGTACATCAGTTTCAGAGAAGTATTGAATAAATAACAACCTGGAAAAAAATGATTGCTGGAATTGAGATAGCAGAATAAGAGATGCATGGAGCCGTTGCCATAAAATTTCCACAAATTAGAGATTAATAGACGAATTTGTAATGATGGTGAACAATGACATAGAAGGAAAAACGAGCAAAAGGATAAGTAGAGATCCAAATAAAGGGAGATGTCATATATGGTGGATATATGAGGTGATGATTAGTATAAATAAATGATACTTTTATAGAAAAATTGACCAGGTACGACAACCCTCCTTCTAAAAAAATGGTGGGTTTAGGGTTCTGAGACCAGAAAAATAATGACTTATTAAAATTAGTTCAGAATCATCATTTTTTTAAAAAAATTTATTTTAATTAGTATCACCATAAAAATAATTTATCATCATAATTACAATACTACAATACAATTTAAAAAATTACTAAATATAACAAAAATAATTACACGGAAAAATGATCAAAAAATGTTTTTAGAAATTAATGTGTAAATTTTTTAAAATTAAAAAAAAAGCTTGAACCCTGAACCCTAAATTTTAAAAAAGGGTTTGGGTTCAGCAAAATATTGAAGGTTTAGGTTCGGGTTTTCGTCCCTGGAATTCACTATAATATCAAAACATAACACTAATATTATTATATTTGTCAGATAATTACACCACTTACTTATAGCTACCTACTACTTTTAGCAAAAATAATATAATACGCGCGCAAATATAACTACCCATTGTTTAATCTTTTCGGTTATCTTTTATCCCTCCCCCCTATCTCATATATTTATTATATGCCAAATAAAAAAAAATTTCAACTAAGAATTACCGAAGGGTTGCTATAGTTTGGATGGACGAATACGCCGAATACATATACCTTAGGAGGTCAATATACATTTTTTTTAAATATTTTATTTGTCTTGAAGTATTTATTATGATGATTGATAATTTCGAGTATTTCTACTTATTTTTTTAACCAATTTAAAATATGACTCTTTTTCTCCTCGATATTATCATTTATAAATTATCAAATTAAATAGGCTTTATATAGATATGATAATTATATTTGCATATATCTTTTATCGATATAACATTAAAACTTGTTATAAGACAAAATTATTATAAGGAGGCATCAGAATTGGCCGATCAATAATTTCTTCTGGAAAAAAATTATTTAAACCCGATTCTCATCATAGCTCTCATTTCATTTGCCGATATGCTGATTTTCCTTACACTATTTTTGTTTGATGAATTATTTTAAAGTTATATTAACATTCCAAGATAGTTATGCATTAAAAATTTACTGCTTATCTTGTGGCAATTCCGAGATATGCACATTTTATAACTATATCATTTTAATATTGGCACAGCCCTAGAAATTCGCCTGGAAACAAATCGATATTTTGCTAATATTCATACAAATCTGGCTACTCGAATTGGCCTAGGGAGATTATTGAAATTTTTTGGACTAACCCGGCCTGTAAAAAATTTTTTGTTCAGGTTGTCCGGTCCAATATTTATGAGGGATAAAGACACTTTAATTCTAAGTTTTAAATTTGCCAGGTGTTTAGCACATGTTATATGACCCAGCAAAAATCTTTTTGCCCCTATTTCGGGCCGGGCCATGATGACCTATTCTGATTTTTTGGGTCTACCTATATTATTATAACTATCACTATTTGCAAATCTTTCTTTTTAATTAATTATATTTGTCGTATTCTAGGCAATGCTCAAGTCGTTAAAATTAGACTTTACAAAAATTATGACTGGGGGGGGGGAGGTCCTTTTGCTTCTAGGTTTTTTTTACTATTTAGAACTGTTTATCCATTATCTTGTTTAAAATATGGACACGTTTGTTGTTTTATTTATTGTAGCACAGAAATTTAATAATAAAATGTATATTTTTATCTTCCCCGTTTAATGGCGATTTTCAGGTTGTTTTCCCTCTGATTTTTTTTCCATTTTTGATGGTCTTGAACATTAATATTTGTAAAATTTATTTTTCTCATATCCACCGCTATCACCTTTATTTAATCGAAGTCTTGAAAATCTTACTTCTATCAAGGTACATCTACCCAGTCATCTTTCATCTTACTCCACATGCCCAAGCAATCTTAGTCTATTTCTTCTCATTGCCACTCCAATCATATCTATTCCCATTCTTGCTAGCTTTCTCTCTCGGAGATACCCCACACATTCATCTTATCATCCTCTACTCTTTTCTGCCACTTTCATTGCCTATATTTTGCCATAAATTAAACCACAGCTTTCGTAAACCTTTCTTTAACTTCAAAGGACGTTTTTATTTGTTAGAATAGACGACATCTCTGAATATCTTCCATGCTTGCCTGACCCTTGTAACAACAGCAAATTACACCACCATCTGCGTTTAGCATATCACCCAAATAGCAAAACATTTCCTAGGGTTGACCAATTGCCAATATCCAAACCACTATCATTGGATTGAATTTAATTTCTAGCAACTCCTTTCCCACAAAAACCACAAAGCCAGTTGCCGGATTCTTCCATCTTCAGATTATCCTCACCAATCATCGCCTTTGTCTTTACTGCATTTATTCTCGTTTCCATAGCCATCTTCCATCTCCTCAATTCTTCCTTGCTGTTTGCCATTTATACTAGTTCGTCTGCATATAATAGCTCCCATGGAAGTTCTTCGCATTTTTCTAGTCACCACATCCATTACTAAGATAAATAATAATGGACTGTGCACGGATCCCTGACAAAGTCTTCACTTCTAAGCTTTCACAATCTCCATCTTCCATCCGTACCACAGTTTGTGCTCCCACATTTGCTATCACTACCATAATCAGCCTTCTTCCGCACCTGATTTTATCAAGACCCACCTCACACGGCACCCTGTCAAACGCCTTCTCCAAATCAACAAAAACATTATTTAGTTTCTTTTCCTTTTCAAGATCTCGCCACAAAAATTTCATCTGCTATGCTTTTCCCCGGTGTAAAACCAAATTGCATTTCATCAAGCTTCGTTTGCTCCCATATCCGCTTTAGCACCCTCTTAAATACTTTTATAGCATATTCCAAGAGTTTAATAGCTCTATAAGACCCGCACTCCAAAGGATCACCTTTCCCTTTGTATAATGGCATAATTATTCCTCACCAATCCTTTGTAGTATTTTCTTGTGTGACAATTAGATTGGCTAAATTCCTTAAGCATTCAATCCATAAGTCATCAGAACTTTTAAACATTTCTGATAACACTCTCTTTAAACCGCTGCTTTCCCTTTTTCATTTTTTTCAATACTCTCGTAATTTCGTTTTTGCCAAATCTACACCCTGGACCTTCTACCTTTGCAAAACTAACTTATCCCATTTATTCTCTTCGTTCAAAAGTCTTTCCATATAGATCTTCCAGGTATTCTTAATTCCACTACTATCAATCGCCATTTTTCCTGCCATATTTTTCAGACATTTAACACCTATCGCATTCTGCCTCTTTGCCATTCGGACCACTTTTCCCATTTTTTCCGCATATTCCATGTCTTTAGCAAAATCCTGCCTTTGTCCTTCTTGCGCTTTTGCTATTAATTTCTTTGCATTTCTCTTTGCTACCTTGTAAATATCGATATCACTATTTTCTTTACTATTAAATCATTTTTGAAACACCTCCGTTCGTTCAGCTTTCGCTACCTCCAAATTCCACCAAATGTCTCCTTATCTAGTTGGCCCTTTTGTCCATCCACATACCTCCTCAATTGTCTTCACCCTGGCTTTCTTCATTCCCACTTGTCATTTACCCCAGATACTTGTTCCACCTCCGCATCTCTTATCGTCGATATCATATTGAATTGGCCAGCTTTGGCACAAACTTTCTTTTAATGATCCCGGCGCCTTTAAAAGTGAGATTTCCTATAATTATTTGGTGCTGCTTAATATATTCCTCCTCCGGTATCACTTTCACATTTTTTACTGTGCTCCTTTCACATCTTCTCACTAGCAAATAATTAACCTCACTTTTAGCACTACTCGACTTGTAAGTCGCCAGCTTCTCGGATTCTTTCTTAAACATTGTATTACAAACAATCATATTCATAGCATCACCAAAATCCAAAATTCTCTCCCCTTCTGGATTTCATGTGCCGTAACTAAATTCTCCATTTACTTCCTCATAACCTTCACCATTCAGATCACCAGCCAGGATAATCCCCTCTTAATTTGCCAGTATCGATGTCACCTCCAATAGATTGTCTGTAAATGTGTCTTTCTCTTCTTCACTCCTTTCAACCTGAGGAACATATGCCAGGTAATATTGCATAGCCTTCTCCCAAAGATCATCTTGATAATCATTTTCTGATTATCTAGTATTCTTACTTCGATTACTTTGTCAGCCCATTTCCCTGCAACAAATACGCCAACGCCAGCTTTACCATCATTACTTCTTTGCCAGAAAAATTTATACTATTCACTTGTCCTGCAAATCATTCTTGCGCCATTACCTCTGGTCTCTTGTATGCATCACACATCTATATGACTTCTATGCAGTGCATCAACCACTTCTCCCGCTCTTCCCATCATGCTCCCTACATTCTACGTAGCAACTCTTACCCTATCCCCTATAAACCTTTCTTCACTTATCATGTCGTTTGGTAAGCGGAATAATTCCCCAGGAAAAAATCCCCAATAATAATTCTTAGAAAATAATTCACCGGAATTGATTTTCTCAAAATTTTTAAATATTTTATTTGAGAATTTTTATTTCGTGAATATATTTATAGGGAGTTTTTTCTTCTATTTTATTAATTTTATAATATTTAATATCTTGAAATACAGGGAATTATTTTCCTAGATTATATCGTTTATGGCCGTCATATGTTTCATTTTAACGAATAGTGGTTCCACAAGGTTTCCCATCCTTTTTGTCTTAGACAAATGAGGAGGCCCACTGGATACTTTGTGCTGTACCCCACCCATGCTTAGTTTTAATCATTAGGGATTTTGGAGCCGGGTTTTTTTAAACCGGATGTCCTTCCTGACATTGATTTTATTCTAGACCCAGACCACATGGAACCTTTTAACTCCCCGGCCACGATGAGGCTGAGGGTAGGATTTTGGGAGAGAAAATGTTTATTTTAATAAGGTTGGTATATATTTATTTCCCTTTGGACACGCAGTTTGAACAAATTTTGTTAGTAATATCACGAATTATATTTAATTAATAAAATAGCTATATTAGGATCATTTTAAAATTACATTTTAATTAGCGCTCGGACCAAATTTTAAAAAAATGTTCAAAAATAAAAACAAAATTTTTTTTATAAATTTTTGAAATTTTGTTGTGTTTAGTCCAATTCTTTTAATAATTATATCTCTCGTTAAACAAAACGCACCCAAATAACACCGTTCAGACCTCAATACAAGGAAATAGATGCCGGCGATCTGACCGAACAACTCGACCTAAGGAAGCGGCTCAACTGTAAACCCTTCAAATGGTTCATGGAGAAGGTGGCCTACGATCTTCCTCTAAAATACCCTATGATCGAACCCCCCGATTACGCCAATGGGGAGGTTGTAAAATTATATCTACCTTTCATTACTTTCTATACTTTCTATATTTATTTTTTTGATCTATTAGTTTGGGATTGGTCTTTAAAATAATATATAAGATTAGGCATTATGTTTTTACTGATGTAAAATGAATAATTCTGCCCGATCATTTGGTCCTAGTCCTTCTTTACATTATATAAATATATAAGGACCACAATCTCTCCCAATCTTCAACTCATTATCGTGAACCGGACCGTAACCTTCACTAGTTCTGATCCAATATCAAAAAGGGTGGTTAATGTTTAATATATAAGTATATAAATCTAACACGAATTTGGGTATTTGATTTGACTTATGAAATAATTAATATCAATCATCTATTAAGATAAATTAAACGACCCATTTTTATGAAAAATATCCTAAATGGTTATACGTGGTGGTTAAAGTAGCGCTCTAGTTGTGGACGAGGTTTAGGCAATATCCTTAGCATATTTTGTTGCAAAACTTTCATTTATTTTCTTTGCATGTGTGTTCCCCATGCTGGCGTAGAAGCGTCGGTAGTGGTTAATTTGCTTGGTCGTAATTTTACGACCCTATTTTGTGTTCAGGCTTACTCTGAGCACAGACCCGTGGTTTAGACGCGGGATTCAGACCCATGGTTTAGACGCGGGATTCAGACCCATGGTTTAGACTCGGGGTTCAGATGAATAATGTTATTTTAAATATTCAAATAAAAATTATAGTATAGAAATAGCAAAATGCAATAGCATTTTCTATGGTTAGATAGTAAAGCCCTGCAAGCAACTCAGCTTAGATAAAAAAATCTTTAAACTAGACCACCTAAAGCTAAGAGATGCCGAAAAATAGAATTAAAATGAGTTATTATGTTGGTTAGCCGAGTTATTATTTCCAGTTCACCCTAGTTTAGAATTAGATGCGAACTTTCTGGCCTTTTTCTAATTTTAGAAGTGTGTCTTATACAAGTACATTTGATAACATTAGTTCCTAAGTTCGGCAAGATTGAGCTTGAATGGGATATTTAGAATACTTTTGGATCGTCTTCATTTAGGAGGTGGGGAGGGTGGTTACAAACAAGCGTCTTTTTATCCTGCCTATTCTGAAGTCAAAATATATAAGATCTTCAATTTACACTTTTTATATAGTTTAGGTAATGGCTAAATACCAGGCGCGTACGCAGCGAGGGGGGGGCAAGGGGACAAATCGCCCCCCCCCCCAAGTCAAAAAATCTAGATGCCGGATATATTTTTTAAAAATATTATTGTTTATATTAATTTATATTTGTTAATATTTATTCCTATCTCATATTAATTAATATTTGTTAATATTTATTCCTATCTCATATTAAATATTTAATTACATATATTTATCACATTCATAAGTTATTTTATCAATTAATTTCGATTTCAAGTTTTCCGGCGTGAAATTTACTTATTATTTTCAAATTTTTAGTGGCGTAATATTTATCTACCATTTTCAAATTTCTAGTCAAGTAATAATTATTTCCGAAACTCCTTGTCCAACAGGGAGAAAGAAATTGTAATCTTGTCCAACAAGATAGTCTTCGCCATCAAGCAGTAACAGCTTTTATGGAGTTAGAAGAGCCGATTATTTGCTATTACTGAAATATCACAATGGCCTGAAAGAAATATTTCCTCAGAAGCAAGTAAATTATTGGATTCAATGCTTATTCCAAAATTTTTTTCTCATTAGAATGTATTATTTAATTATACAACTATATGTAATACTTTTCAAAAACATGGCATTGACTTGATTAAGAAGATGAGAATAGCGGAGAGCATTTTATTAGAACTCAAGGAAATTAGGGCTAGTGTTGGTGAATTCTTATTTTATATGTTATTGTTAAGTCAAAAGCAGAGAGCAGAGCTATATGTGTTTAATATTTGTCTCCTTCGACTTGCAGCAAGGCAAGCTCATCGTTAAAACATTAATATAGGATGAGTAGAAGAGTATTATAAAACAAATGTCTCCTCTCTTAGATACATTTATAACCCAAATAAATGAATGGTTTTTTATTCATCATGCAGCCGTTATCTGCAGATATTACTTCCACAAAAGCCTTACCAACCTTTTTCAGATGGTGATAGAAAAAAAAATATTTCTTAGATTTTTATCATAAAGATGTTAAAGTATCTTATGATACCTTATTAGCTGAATAACTCTATTTATAAATAACTATGTTTGATATAGTCCCAAAAAATACTATGTGCTTTGCATTTCAAACACATTTAAATTATATTCCCAATGTTTTAAAAGGGTTTATATATATTACCAACTCTTCCCATTAGTAAACTAATGAGAGAACATTCTCATTTTTAAGAATAACAGAGCCCTGCAGAGGTACCATTTAAAGGGCATGGCCCGGTTCGGGTTTTTTTTAAAAAAGTTTTAGGTCCTCCCCGGCTTTTTTTTAAATAAAATTTTCAAGCCCGGCCCGCATTTTTTTAAAATAAATTATATTTCTTTTTGATTTTTATAGCTAATAATAACGATTTCAAATATAGGCTGTTTTAAAATATACAGCCTGGCCCGGATATTTTTTAAAAAAATTTTCAGGCCTCGCCCGGGTGTTTTTTTTTAAATTCGGGCCCGGCCCGGGTATATTTAAAAAATTAAAATACGGTTCGGCCCGGGGGCCGGGTCTACAGGTCTCTGAAAAACATACCAAGAAGTACAACTTCTGAAAGTAGATAGAAAGGTTTGAATATTCATAGGCATTTGACGACAAGCAAGGATGAGATAATTGAAAAATTAGCTCAATCCCAACGAAGATTGCATTTTACATGTAAATATATAAAATACAAAATACAATTATTCCTAAGAAACTTTTTGTATATTAATTTATATATCCAACATTTAAATTTTTTATGTATATAAATTTTAAAGGCTCAAAAAATTCAAATTTTTATTTTGGGTCATTTAAGTGATTCATATAGTGGTTATATTCACTTTATATTTTATAATTCACATTTATTTTATAGTTTTATACCGCCAGTTATATCCGTTTAATATTTTTTAATTCACATTTATTTTATAGTTTTTTATATGACGACGGTTTATACATATAATTTTTTTATAATTCACATTAATTTAAAATTGTGTATCAGAAAAAGTTATTAGTTATAATAAATTTATGCTTGATATTTTTAAAAAACAATAATATTTCTTAAAAAATTTTATTATTCCCCCCCCCCAGACCAAATTCCTGCGTACTGCTAAATACATAACTCGGTTCAATCTTCAGGCGCTTGCCAAAGAAAATCCGTTAACATTAAGATTAATTTCTTCCAAATTTGAGCCTCTATCTTTTAAAAATAACCCCGAAAAGCCAGAGTGATAGTTTTCGGCTAGATTAAAAACTTGGTTTAGCTGATTTTTTAGCCGGCTAAAAATATATTTGGCCTGAAGAAGTTTAAAATTAAATAATAATTATAGGAGGTTTTAATTTAAGTTAAATTTTTTAAAAAAATAATAATGTTTTTCTCAACATTTTCTTTCAAGTTTTTAAAAGTAAATGTGTTATTTTAATATCGACAATTATGAACACATTATTTTTTTAGACTTTATTTTCCTCAACAATCAGCATGTGTTTTTTTATATTTTAAAGTTGTTTATAATTATTTTTTTTACGTCAACTATTAATTATATTAAAAAAAATAAATAATATGTATTTTTATATAGAAAATCTTTTTTTTATTAAATTTAATTTTCACTTTATATTTAAAAATGAATTATTATAAATAAATTTTTTTAATTTTTTTTTAAGTTATATTAATTATTATATTTCAGTGTTGTGATGGTTTAATGAAGCATGTTGAAGATTAAATTAAAAATAAAACCCATTCAGTTAAAAATATTTTGTTTACAAAAGTAATTTTACTTTTAAAAACTTGATAGAAAATGTCGAGAAAAACATTATTGTTCTTTAAAAAAATTTAATTTAAATTAGAACTTATAATTATTTTTTAATTTTATGACAATTTTAATTTTAAACTACTTCAAACCAAATATTTTTTTAGCCGGCTAAAAAAATCGGCTATATTAAGTTTTTTATCCGAAAACTATCACTCTGGGCCTTAATGTTTTAACGGATTTTCTTCATCAAGCGCCTGAAGATTGAGCCGAGTTAGCCTGTATTTAGCCATTACTCAATTATGGCAATTACACAAACTATATAAAAAGTGTAAATTGAAGATTTTATATATTTTGACTTCAGAATAGGCAGGATAAAAAGAAGCTTGTTTATAACCTCCCCCGCCCCCCATAAATTTAAACGTTTCAAAAGTATTCTAAATATCCCATTCAAGCTCAATCTTGCTGAATTTAGGAACTATTGTTAAAAAGTGTACCCATGCAAGCTCAATCTTGCTGAATTTAGGAACTATTGTTAAAAAGTGTACTTGTCTAAAATTAGGAAAAAAATCTACATGTTTAAAAAATAGCAATGAAATTAATCAAATCAGGCCAGAAAGTTCTTAGGGAAGACTGGGGTTAGTCGAACCTATTTTTTTAGATAATATAAAAAATAATATATGATCAGATAACTAAAACTACACTATATAAAGGTGCCTTTGTAATAATTCTTTTTTTAAATTCTTTTTTATTTTTTGTAAAAGTGAAAATTTTGTCTAACAAGCCCCAATAGCGGGGTGAGGCAAACCACTTCAAGGGGCTTCCTAAACCATTGGTTTTTTTGGCCATAATAAATTGAAATGCATTTTTATTTATTAATAATGATTCTTTAGAATAATTTTATTGTTTTATCGTTCAAAATATCATAATACCTATAAATTGAAGCTAATTATATATAAAAATTGAAACTTAATTTTGGTTAATTTAATAAACATTTTGGGCAAAAAAAAATAAGGATCTTTAGGAGAGATTATGATTTCTTAGCATAAATCCTAAATACCAATCATAAAACAGCGACGAAATTGCCTTTTCAAGATTTTGAAGTTTATTCTATCAACTGTCATATTTGA